TTAATAAAATCTATTGTATTTTATCCATAATATTTTTAAAAAATAAATAACCAAATATCTAAATAACTTTCAACCTCAATTATAATACAATTCAATATAGTCATAGTCACAATCACAATTACAATCACAGCACTTTATTCTCATTTCAAATGCACTTTTAGACTCTGGATTAGGTCTAAAATTGTAGACTCAGAATGATATTTCGTCCCCCAAGTCGGTATGTACATCGTCAACTGTTGGTGATAGCATGCACCTCCTCTCTGCACCCGTCTTCATCCTCGGAGCCTTCAGTTCTGGCAGGAAGCGCAAATTCTTTTGATACTGAGGTTCTAGCAGCCAAAGACAATCTGCAACTGTTCTGTACAAAGAATTTTACCAACTCCTTCATGAAATTTAAACTAGAAATTGCATAAGATAGGGTGGACCTCTGGCCCAAAAGAAAAGAGAAAGAATAGATGGGCTTAAACAAGAATTTCAAACCCATCAAGAAATGGGTTTATGACTTATGGGTTTAGTGACTTAGTCGTTAGTCCACTGCAAATTTTTACAGCACGTTTGGAGTGCTGGATTGATAGTGGGATGGGATAAAAATTTTATCTCATCCCACTGTCCCATGTTTGGTAAGATAAATGGATGAGATGATTGTTATCCCATATTTTATCCAATCCTGTTTTCCTTTCATAAAATGTAACCCTCATCCCCCATGGGATTAGGTGGGACAAGATTTGATTTTACATTTTTACCCTTTCCTATCTCCACAATTCTCTACCCCTTTTCCTGTTCTTTCTTTGCCCATCTTTCTTTCAGTTCGCAATTTAAGGATGGCAATTCTTCCCGTTCCTCGCGGAGATCCCCACCACAGGAATGGGGGAGGGAGGAATATTCCTCCCCATGGGGTGGGGACGGGAATCATTTTCCCCCTGCGAAATTTCGCAAGGATTTTTTCCCACCCCGTAAGGCCTTGCGGGCATCCCATCCTTGCAAAAAAAAAGTTTTTATTTTAAAATTAATTTATTCTTTAAACTCAAACCCAAACCCAAACCCAAATCCAATCCAATTACAATTAAACTTAGCTCAATACCATCCAACCCAATCCAACTCCCAGCCCAACCCATTCCTCTACATTTAACCCTAACCCTAATTTATTTTAATTCTCATCACTCAATCTCACTTTCAATCTCTTTGTCTGCGGCTCACTCATCTCTTACCTCCATCTCACCTTCAGTTTCCTTTGCTGTTGTTGCTGTCAAATCCATCTCCTCTGTTGCTGCTGCTGAAGCCATCTACTCTGTTGTCGCCAGATCCATTTGCTCTGCCACTGTGCCGAATCCATCTTTTTTGCTGTTGTTGAAGCCATCTACTTTGTTGTTGCTAGATGTATCTACTCTACTACAGCCGGATCCATCTGTTCTGCTACTACTGTCGCCATCGGAGCCATCTGCTGCTACTGCTGCTGCTACCACCGAACAGCTGAAGCCATGTACGCTGCTGCTGCTGGATCCATCTGTTGCTGTTGCCACCACCGGACCCATTTGCTACTGCTGCTGCTGCCGCTGAACAGTTGAAGCCATATGCTCTGCTGCTGCTGCTGGAGCTACTTGATGTTAATTGGTGGGGAATGGGGGACAAAATCTGCCTCCCATCAAAAATTCCTGCGAGGATCCTCGTCCTCGTGATTCGCGGGGACGAGGATGGGGAGGGGGTCCCCAGCCCCGTGGGGCCCCGTTGACATCCCTAGTTCGCATCGGTGCACATCAACGTAATGCCGACAACACATCGGAATCCATCTTCGTGAGTAGTTGAACGGATAGCTTCTTATTCCTTCCTCTCTCTTGCCTCTTGGTTTTTCTCCATTCCCCTCTCTTCCTCTTCTCCTTGCTTTCCTCAATTTCTATCTGATCTGAAGGCATCAACCAAATCAATCGCAAAATTTAGCAACGGAGTCGTTGAGCACTTTCAAGTGGTTCTCTGATTTCTCTTCTTGATCAAATCAACCATCCACTCCAATTTGTGGTTTGACTTGTTGCCTTGTTGGGTTGCATGAAAGGAATGAAAAATGTTGATGATAATTAAATATGATTTTGTGTTAATTATGTGCAATTAATTGATAATTAATTATAAATTTTTTTTATAAAAGTAATTAATGATAATTATCACAATTAATTTCACTGGTAAATGTTACTATGATTAATTCCAAAACAAATTAAAATAAAATTTTATTAAGTTTAATTATAATGTATAGGTATTTTTGTCTATATAAATACATTTTTATATCTAATCTCACTTTAATCTAGAGATCAATCAAATATTGCATTAGATTTAATACAATAAATTTTATCTAATCCAATCTAATCCTATCTTTTAAATTATATCCAATCCAATCCAATCTTGTGTTCCAAACATGCTCT